CCCCGAGGAGCCAACAGAGACGTCCCCAGCAGAAGTGTGTCTCCTGTGTTCAGCAGAGGCCCAAGCCTTGCACCAAGCGGCTGGCCAACATTTCCCATGCATGGGCACCCCTCTCTCTGGCCGTTCCCACCCTAGGCCGCCAGGCTCGCACTGTAGGCTGCTAGGTGTCCAACACCCAGTGTGGGGGAGGTGGGGATCTGCCCCCAGACCAAGGGGCTGGCCCGGGGTCGGCATAGATTAGAGGCAGAGAGACTGATGCTGGGGCAGTCTCCAGGGATGAGCTGCACTTGGCTTGGCAGGTGTTAGCAGCATTATGTACAAAAATGTCTTCGAGGTCACATGCTCTTACCAAAAGCTGGGTTCAAAAGTTAAGAAAGGGGCAGGCGCTTGGTCCCGTGATTAACATGCTGGCTAAATACCACAGCCCGCATTGTGCGCTGGGGTTGATACCCACTTCCGGCTCCTGACTCCAGCTTCCTGCAAACACTCACCCTGGGGGGGGGGGGGGGGGGGCAGCGCTGATGGATGGAGCAACCTGAGCTCCTGCCATCCACACGGGAGACCCGGAAGGAGTTGCTGGCTCCCGGCTTCAGCCTGTCCCAGGCCCTGCCAGTACAGGCGTCCGGGGGGTGAACCAGTGGATAGGAGCCCACTCTCTGTCTCTCTGCCTTGTCTTACACCTCCGCACACAGGGGTTTTGACTACGGGATCCATTTTACCCCTTCTACAAAGCTCCTGACAAAGCTACAGGCTCACAGGTCTCAGGGACACACTTTGAGATCCCCTGGGGCTCCCAGCAGGGCTGTGGCAAGGGCTAGATCCCATTCCCTGGGCCATTGTCCCCTGCCAGCGCCCACCAGCCATCCCTCATTAGCGCCCCGGCCTGAGAACCCCAGTAAGAGTGGGAGAGGGGCTCCGCACCCACCCCGAGGGAGCCCCGGAGTGGGGTGTCAGGTCCGAGAACTGGAAGGCTGAGGAAGCAGGGTGAGGTGTGCAGGTGGGGGACAGCGGTCAGCTGGCACGGGTGCTCGGGACCAGGGCACGCTGGCCAGCCCCAGAGCCTGCTTGGCACACACCTACCCAGGCTCCGCGGGATCCTGGAGCTGACCTTCCCGGCTCCTCTCCCCTCCTCGGTGTCCGCTGATCTACCCTCGCCTCAGCAGACTCACCAAGCCTGGGGGGGGGGGGGCTCTGCCTCCGTCCCTTGTTGTAACACAGGCGAGGAAGAGAACAGGGGGTCCCCGCTGTGTGTCTCCAGCTCTGGGAGCTGTGCCTGGCACAGCGCAGCTGCTCCACACTTGGTGTGTTGAGTGTGTGTGTGTGTGGGGGGGGGGGGATAAAAAAAAAGAGAAAATAATGGTTTTTACCTGTTTCCTTGTGTCTTCCCTCTTTGGGGAGCCGAGCAGCATCTGAGAGTGAAAGGAGAAGTACAGCGAGGTTTCCAGGGCTGGATTTCACCCTCTGCGGCCACACCCCCTTCCTCTATGCGGCTGTGACAGTGGCTGGCAGGCTTCGTGATGGGGAGGGGGGGGCGCTGTGGACCTCAAGCCAGACTGAAGGAACTCTCCCAGACCTAGAGGCCATTCTCACTCCTGTGGGTGCGTTTTCCCCATCGGAGTATTTTCAGAGCTGGCTTCTCCCCTGCACTCATGTCTCAGGAAATGTGAGTGACTCCAGCAAGCTGATCAGAGCCGCCAATCCGCCACAAACAACACAGGTCGGCTTGCAAGTATGAGGGTCCCTCCAAGTATTTCTGGGGGGGGGGGACCACAAAATAAAAAGGTAAGTTTCTTTTGGTGTAAAAAAAACCCCAAGCATAGTTTTTTCATAAAATGCCCTTTTCATGACGTTCTTGAAGACTCCATGTGTGCTTAGATTTCAAAATTGCTTCACACCAAAATAAAGTTATTTTTAACTCCATTCTCCATGAACTTTTTGAAGCGCCCGTGGGTCTGCAGTTGAGTGACGTCACGTGTTCCTGTCGTCCCCACTCCCTCCTGTCAGAGGCGTGATTGGTGGGGCCCGGGGCCCCTGACGTCCCCCGAGGGCTGAAGGGAGAGCAGAGTTACCGCGGGGGAAGGACACGGGGTGTGCGAATGCTGTTGGCGGCGCGATCTTGGGACTGAAACCTCAGCACACATCAGGCCTGCTCAGTGCAGGTCTCGGGTCACAGCCATGCAAATCCCACAGATGACGAGAAAACTTCTGAGAAGTCTCCCCTCGGATGTCACACTGCGCTCAGAGGCGTGACCGTAGGGACAGAAGCGCAGCGAGGAACTACTTCACCGCGCGGTGGCGTCTGGGAAGATGGAGGGGGTGCACCTGCGGCCGGCAGGATCCGTGGAGGATTCGAGCTCGGCACCCCTCGCCGAAACCAGTATTCGCAGACGCTAATCCCCTTCTTTAAAATGTCATAGTATTTGCCTACAACCCATGCATATCCTCCTGCACGCTTTAAAGCGTCTCCAGACTGCTTATCCTGCTGAGCGCAGTGGTACACGCTGAGCGCCGGCCGAATAGCTATCGCTTAGGGAATAAAGAGAAGAAAAAAAGATGCACAGGTTCAGGACGGACGCGGCCCCTGCAGACCTGGCTACCATTTCCATCCAAGGTCAGATGGGGCTGAGAACCTGCAGAACAGAGTGCAGAGGGCCAGCTGCAGGTCCTCCATTTCTTCTAAGCATAATTCAAACTGCGGTATATAGTAATAAAAAAAAGAAACACACGAAGACTCTGAAGGTGGAGGGAAGACAGACTGGTCGGGGCTCCTGGGACCCAAGGAATGGGATGGTGGTGAGTGTTCTTTGCTTCCTACATCCTAGACTGGATATAGGGGAAGCTGACAACTGTAGGAAAAAAGTTCCAGGCACTCTCTGCTTTTCCAGAAAGAAAAAGGCACCCGGGAAAGTCAGAACGCGCAGTCAGCAACTGCCCCGCCCCAGCCAAACACCACGGAAAAATTGGGGGCCTCATCGCCGCCGCCCCTGTCAGCAAAGGCTGAGGCGCGGAGCCTGGGTTCTCACCCAGGGGAGTGCATCAAGGAACCCGAGACCCCTCCCCAGACTCGGCGGAAGTGGCTCCAGCGAGGGCAGAGTTGCAGCTGGACCCTTCCTCCCCACCACACGGGGAGCCTGGCACGCACCAGCACCCGATGCAGGAACGAGGCCCTCCTCCTCCTCTTCCTCACGGCCTCGGTGTCAGAGGAGGCCCGGAGGAGGAACAGGACTTCGGCCACGGCTCAGCACGAAGCAGCTCCGCCCCCAGTGCCGCGGAATCACAGGAGGACTAGGAATGAGGGCCCCTCCCCGCCCCGGGCCAGGTAGTCATAGTGCATAGCTGGTGGCCCGCTGGGATTGCCACGTCCGCCTGGCGGTGACAAGGAGCCCGCACCTACCCTCAGGTGTGAAGGGAGGCTGAGGGGAGAGCCCCCGCCTCATGCCTCCATCTGGGAGGAAAGAGGCGTCGCCCTCCCCCGTGTCACCGGAGCCGCTTGAAGGGAGGTGTCCTGGGCGCCCGACGCACGTATCTGGGAGACGTTCTCTCCTAACAAGGCAACTGCACGTGGTGCTGTCTTTCTGCAATGTCAGATTCGTTTCTCTCTCTCTCTCTTGTGTTTGGTGTCTCTCACCTTCAAGCTGTTTCTTGGAACACGGTCCTGGCTCTGTGTGACTGATGGACAAGTCTTTCACTGATGTCTCTTGGCTTAGCCAGAGTTCAAAATGGAGTCTCAAAATGGAGTCACCTTGGTCAATCTTGTTCATGCTCCACACAGGAGGTCTATGAAAACACAAGGCTTAAGTAAGGACCAGATTCTGGTAATACTCAAAATGTCCTTACCAAGAGCCAGGAAGTCTCAAGTTGAATTGGAAAAAAAAAAAAAAAGAACAAACACCATGATGATACACATGTCAGAATTATTTGATAAAGATTTTAAAGCAGCTGTTATAAAAATGCTTCAATGAGAAATTATAAACACACTTGAAACAAATGACAAAAATAGAAACCCTCATGGGACAGTGCTGTGGTATAGTAGGCTAAGCCTCCACCTGTGGCACTGGCATCCCACAAAGGTGCCCATTCAAGTCCCAGCTTCTCCACTTCCAATCCAGCTGCCTGCTGATGGCCTGGGAAAGCTGTAGAAGATGGTCCAAGTCCTTGGGCCCCTGCACCCACATGGGAGACCTGGAAGAAGCTCCTGGCTCCTGGCTTTGGATCTGCCCAGCTCTGGCCTTTGCAGCCATTTGGAGAGTGAACCAGCAGTTGGAAGCCCTCTCTCTCTCTCTCTCTCCCTATAACTCTACCTCTCAAATAAATAAATAAATAAATCTTTAAAGACAAAAAAAACCTCAGTAAATGAATAGAAAATATAGAGAAGAATCAAATGGAAATTTTAGAGCTAAAAACACAATAACCAAAATAAAGGCCCTAATGGATGATCTCAACAACAGAATGGAGAATATAGAAGGGGAAAATTAGTGAGACTGAGCTAGAACAACAGAAATGACCTGTTCTGAACAGTCCAGAGAACACAGACTGAAAAACGGACCCACCTCAGAAACATGGGCCAACAGAATTCTCCACAGCTGGCAAACAGAACAATGCCTTTCATTTTATTTTTACACAAAAATTCAGAGTCCATCAAGTGGAGAAACAAAAGGAGCATGCTGATAAATTACCAATAAGAGCAAGGCCAAAGCACAAGTAGCTTTCTATTTTTTTTAAGATTTATTTATTTATTTGAAAGGCAGAGTTAGAGAGAGGCAGAGACAGAGACAGAGAGAGAGAGAGAGAGAGAGGTCTTCCATCTGCTGGTTTGCTCCCCAGATGACCTCAATGGCCAGAGCTGAGCTGATCCAGAGCCAGGAGCCAGGAGCTTCTTCCGGGTCTCCCACGTGGGTGCAGGGGCCCAAGGACTTGGGCTATCTTCTACTGCTTTCCCAGGCCATAGCAGAGAGCTGCAATGGAAGTGGAGCAGCCGGGTCTCGAACCAGCGCCCACATGGGATGCCAGAACTGCAGGTGGTGGCTTTACCCGCTTTCCCACAGTGCCGGCTCCATAAGTAGCTTTCTCACTCCTAGTGTTGGGGGGTCACATGAGCAGGAATATGATTAGAATCCTTGCTGCCATCATTGGGTAAAAGGCAACAAGACACTGCCAAAAATACTGCTAGAAAGCTCTGGTTAACGAAATTGATTTAGATTATTCATTAACAGAAAAAGGGAGAATATACACAAAAATCAACACTACCTGATGAACCGTTCTGCAAGGAGAAGTAGACATGAGTAGAAAAAATCAGCCAGAATGCCCACTGGCTGCAAGATGTATGAGGACTTTGGAGCAGGCAGGTGGTGCAGTGGGCATCCCAAATGGGCGCCAGTGCAAGTCCTGGCTGCTCTGCTTGCAACGCAGCTCCCTGCTGATGCACTAGGAAAGCATGGAAGACGACCTGAGTGCTTGGGCCCCTGCACCCACACGGGAGACCCAGGTGGAGTTCCAGGCTCCTGATTCCAGCCTGGACCAGTCCCACCCATGGCGGCTTTTGGGGAGTGAACCAGTGATGGAAGATCTCTCTCTCTCACTCTCTCTCTCACTCACTCTTTCAAATAAATAAATATAAATAAAGATGCAAAAAAGAAAAAAAAACTTATCTTCTACATGATTCATTTAGCTGATTGCTAATTGAAAGTGGTTCATTATTTAGAAGAAAAGTTACAACTGGTTTAATAATTCTAGCTTTCAGGCCGGTGCCGCGGCTCACTAGGCTAATCCTCCACCTAGCGGCGCCGGCACACCGGGTTCTAGTCCCGGTCGGGGCGCCAGATTCTGTCCCGGTTGCCCCTCTTCCAGGCCAGCTCTCTGCTGTGGCCAGGGAGTGCAATGGAGGATGGCCCAAGTGCTTGGGCCCTGCACCCCATGGGAGACCAGGAAAAGCACCTGGCTCCCGGCTTCAGGTCAGTGCGGTGCGCCGGCCGCGGCGGCCATTGGAGGGTGAACCAACGGTAAAAGGAAGACCTTTCTGTCTCTCTCTCACTGTCCACTCTGCCTGTCAAAAAAAAAAAAAAATTCTAGCTTTCATTCTTTTAATTGCTGTAAACTTTTTTTAGTTTTTTAGATTTATTTTATTTATTTGAAAGACAGAGTTACAGAGAGGGGTAGAGACAGAGAGAGAGGTCTTCCATCCGCTGATTCACTCCCCAGATGACCTCAATGGCCAGAGCTGAGCTGATCCAGAGCCAGAAGCCAGGAGCTTCTTCCAGGTCTCCCACATGGGTGCAGGGGCCCAAGGACTTGGGCCATCCTCCACTGCTTTCCCAGGCCACAGCAGAGAGCTGGATCGGAAAAGGAGCAGCCGGGACTAGAACTGGCGCCCATATGGGATGCCGGTGCTTCAAGCCAGGGCTTTAACCTGCTGCGCCACAACCCCGGCCCCTGCTGTAACTTTAAATACTAGACCTTTTGTTTTCCCCAACTATGTAAATCAGTGGAACATCGCAGCCAACATTATCCTTGCTTAACAGATTGACCTGCCTACCTATACTTTTTCAGAAGCTGCCTCCTTGGACTTCCAAGCTGATGCGGACTCTAGGAGGTGACACTGATGGGTTCCTGTCACCCACACTGGGGACCTGGATTAAGTTCCCGGCTCCCACCTTCAGCCTTTGGAGCAGCCCTGGACACTGCAGATATTTGGGGAGTGGGCTGGCAGGTTGGCTCACTCTCCCTCTCTCGCTCTCGCTCTTTTCTCTCTACCACCCCCTTGTTTTCTACAGTTAGGTTAAAACCACCTCCCCACAGTTCCCTATAGCTTTCCCTCCTCTCTGGGAGGCCACCTTCACAGTGATACAGGATGCTTCCTGGACATGAATGCTGATTGAACATGGTAAGGGCGAGGCAAGCCACTCATCAGTAATGCCCTCTGAGAAAGATCTCAGTAAAAAGGGAGCTAAAAATTCATAAATGTCATAAATCTCCTTTCAAAGGCCAGCAGATGGGTGGGAATAGATAGGAGAAGTTGATCAGTTAGCAGCTGTCAGTAAAACCAACAAAAGAACTATTTATGTTGAAACCTTGACTTCAATCCATTGGTGCACAACCACCAGGACGTGATGCCCTGGTTATGCATACATTTTGGGGGTTATTAACCCTAAGCAATACAGAAGCAAAAACTCTCCCTGCAGACTGTCCCCCTGCAAACTTTGCCTACTTCATGTTGTCCTGCCTAACCTCTCTGTAGCCAGTACAGGTTGCCCTTGGTGGCAGGGGTGGCAGTGGGGTGCTTGGTACAGCAGCGAAGACAACGCTTGGGATGCCCACATCCTATATTGAATGGCCTGATTTGAGTCCCACATCTGCATCTGATCCAGCATCCTGCTGATGACACACTAAAGCCAGCCGATGATGGCTCGGGTACTTGGATCCCTGTTACCCATGTGGGAGATCCGGTTGAATTCCAGACTCCTGGCTTTGGCCTTGTTCTGCCCTGGCTGTTGCAGGCATTTGGTGATTAAACCAGTGGATCAAAGATCTGTTTGTCTGTCTCTTTGAAAAAAATGAGGGGCTGGCGCCGTGGTGCAGTAGGTTACTCCTCCACCTGAGGCGCCAGCATCCCATATGGGCCCCGGTTCTAGTCCCAGCTGCTCCTCTTCCCATCCAGCTCTCTGTTATGGCCTGGGAAAGCAGTGGAAGATGGCCCAGGTGTTTGGGCCCCTGCACCCGCATGGGAGACCAGGAAGAAGCACCTGGCTCCTGGCTTCGGATCGGCACAGCTCCGGCCGTTGCAGCCATTTGGGGAGTGAACCAGTGGATGGAAGACCTTTCTCTCTGTCTCTCCCTCTCACTGTCTGTAACTCTGCCTCCCAAATAAATAAATAAAATCTTTAAAAGAAAGAAATAAAATGAAAATTTTAAAACAAAAAATAAAAAGGAGTATCTACCTACTGACGTCAAGATCTTGGACTTCTAGCTTCCAGGGCACTGAGCAAGTAAATGATTGTGAAACTTTGTCATAAAAAACGTGCTCTTCTCTCAATCCGGCAGATGTTCTCCAACTGCTGCCTAGGCTGCTGCTGGTAGTGCAGGAACTTCTCCCAAGACCTGGCCCTTACTGCTTCTGGCTAGCACTTGTATGGCTCAATAAACCCCTTTATTTATAGAAGGAAGGAAGGAAGGAAGGAAGGAAGGAAGGAAGGAAGGAAGGAAGGAAGGAAGGAAGGAAGGAAGGAAATGGACAGAGCCTCAGGGTCATCTGTGACCGTAATAAAAGATCCAACATGATGTTGCTGTAGTATCAGAAGAAGAAGAGATAGAGGATGGGGCTGAAAAAAGTTTGAAGAATTAACGGCTAGAAATTTCCTTAATTTCACAACACACACACACACACACACACACACACACACACAATACACGTACAGATTCAAGAGGCTGAGTGGACCCTAAATAAACTCAAAGACGTTCATGCCAAGACTCAGTCAAAATTCTAAGAAATCAAGACAAAGAAAAATTCTGAAAGGAGCTCTATAGGGGAAAATCATTTAAATAACAATGAATTTCTCATTTAAAAAAACTATGGGGCCGGCGCCGAGGCTCGCTAGGCTAATCCTCCACCTGCGGCGCTGGCACACCGGGTTCTAGTCCCTGTCGGGGCACCGGATTCTGTCCCGGTTGCCCCTCTTCCAGGCCAGCTCTCTGCTGTGGCCAGGGAGTGCAGTGGAGGATGGCTCAAGTGCTTGGGTCCTGCACCCCATGGGAGACCAGGATAAACACCTGGCTCCTGTCTTCGGATCAGCGCGGTGCGGCCATTGAA